AAAACCCTGTCTCCACTAAAAATACAAAAATTAGCCAAGTGTGGTGGCATGCGCCTGTACTCACAGCTACTTGGAAGTGAGGCAGAAGAATCACTTGAACTCGGGAGGCAGAGGTTGCAGTGAGCCAAGGCTGCACTGCAGCCTGGGCGACAGAGTGAGATGCTGTCTCAGAAAAAAAAAAAAGAAGAAGAAAGATTCTGAGGCTGCATTCTGCCATCATTGATTGGTAATGCCTGGCCTGGGCAAGGTGTGGGGTGCTGCCAGGTCCCTGGCAGTGCTGGCCTTTTGGCCACTTATACAGAGGAAGCTGAGGCACAGAGAGGGCAAGGAACTTGCCCCAGGTCACACGGTGAGCCCACAGAGGTGGCAGGATGCAAGCCTGGGAGTCTGGAGCTCATTTTAGCCTCTTGCCACACTGAGCTGAGCCAAGTCCAGAACTGTGCTGTTAAAACCTGCCCAGAGCAGAAGCAGACAAGGAAAGAGGTGGGTGGGCCGGGGGAGGGCGTGGGTATGTCCTCACTCTCTTGAGATTGCACCATGGAACCACTCGGGGACCGCGTCTTGGGCCAGCTGGCCCGACTGGGTGTGCACGAACCAGTCCAGCCGAGGGGGCAGTGGTGGGGGCAGCTTCCTGGCCTCTGTCATGGCTTCCTGGGGTGGGGCGAAGGTCACCTGGGTAGAGAAGGGAGGGAAGACAAGAATCAAGCTTGATGCCCCTCTTATTTTTGCTCTATTCTTGCAGTTTGTGGCGCCTCTTCCTCTGAGAAGTCCTCCAGGCCGGACAGAGCAATGGGCTTAAAACTGGCTTGTGAGGGCCAGGTGCTGTGGCTCACGCCTATAATCTCAGCACTTTGGGAGGGCAAGGGGATGTGGACTGCCTGAGCCCAGGAGTTCCAGACCAGCCTGGGCAACATAGTGAGACCCCATGGCTACAAAAAAATTTAAAAATTCGGCCAGGCATGGTGCCTCATGCATATAATCCCAGCACTTTGGAAGGCTTAGGCGGGCAGATCACCTGAGGTCAAGAGTTTGAGACCAGCCTGGCCAACATGGTGAAACCCCATCCCTACTAAAAATACAAAAATTACCTGGACATTGAAGTAGATGCCTGTAATGCCAGCTACTTGGGAGGCTGAGGCAGGAGAATCACTTGAACCCGGGGGATGGAGGTTGCAGTGAATCGAGATCACACCACAGAGTGAGACTCATTCTCAAA